TTTATAACCTTTATTTATAACCTTCATAATTTTTGTTTACAACCTTTGTTTACAACCTTTGTTTATAACCTTTGTTTATAACCTTTATTTATAACCTTCATAATTTTTGTTTACAACCTTTATTTATAACCTTTATTTATAAGCTGTTTCTTGGTTCACAAATTATCTCAAGAATTGGATACAATGTATTAAATACGATAATTTATGTTTTGAAGTTGCAACAGTTCATAAGGGGGTACCACAGGGTTCTATATTAGGTCCACTTCTATTCGTAATTTATATAAATGAATTGGAACAAAATGTGTCTGATGCTAATTTGCATTTTTATGCAGATAAGTTATTTATTGCACTGGATCCACTCCTACTCAGGTTATTGAACTATTACAAAAAGTATTTGCTGCTATCTCTTTATTAAATTTAAAACTTCTCCTTAATACTGATAAAACTAAATTGATGTACTTTTCCAGATCCAGAGGTCCACAAAAGATCTCCTGTGCTCTCTTGCAGTGGACATGAAATAGAGTTGGTTCACACATACAGTATTTGGGCATTGTGATTGATGGGTCCCTCAAACCCCATGTGGAAATTCTTGTGAAAAGGCTAAAATTAAAGCTGGGCTTGTATTTTCTAAATAAGTTGTGTTTTTCATATACTGCTAAAAAGTGGCTTGTCTCTGCAACTTTTATGTCTGTGTTGGACTATGGAGATCTGTTGTACGATTGCTTCCTCACAATGTCTTAAGATGCTTGACTCTGTCTGCCACTCTGCTCTGAGGTTCATTACAAACTGCAACATGTCAACACATCGTTGTGATTTGTCCTCACCATGAGTGGCATGGCCTGGTCTGGCTGCTCGAAGGAACTCCTATTGGTTAACTTTTATTTACAAGACACTGCTTGGACTCCGGGCAGCACGGTGGCGCAACTGGTAGAGCTGCTGCCTCTCAGCGAGCAGGTCCTTGGTTCAAACCCCGGTCCAGGTGCCTTCTGGGTGGAGTTTACATGTTCTCTCCGTGCATGCATGGGTTTTCTCCGGGTACTCCAGTTTCCTCCCACAGACTAAAAACATGCATGTTAGGCTGATTGGTAACTCTAAATTGTCCCTAGGTGTGAGTGAGAGAGTGAATGGTTGTTTGTCTCGTTTGTCTCTATGTGTCCCTGTGATGGACTTGCGACCCGTCCAGGGTGTACCCCGCCCCTCGCACAGTGATTGCTGGACATGGGCACCAGCGACCCCCGTGACCCAAAATGGAATAAACGGGTAAAGATAATGGATGGATGGATGGATGGATGCTTGGACTCCTGCTGGGCTTATATTTGTACTGCAATTGCACTGAGAAATGTTGACTCATACTTTTCGCTCACACGATTTGCTGCTTCTTTCTGTCTCTTTTGCTCGGACTGAATTGGGTAAGAAGGCTTTCGTTCACGCTGCTCAATCTTTTTGGAACTTGCTACAAGAACCTCTGAGATTGACTGAATTCGTCTCATTCAGTGCTTTTTACATCCAAACTAAAAGTTACTGAGGCCAGTTCAATGACACGTACCTGTTTTTATAGCTAGATTGTTTTATAGTATCTGTTTTTGACATTTTCTTTTAACTGTAATTTTTGTGTTGTATTTGTTGCTGCCTCTTGGCCAAATACAAACTTTATTTATAACCTTTATTTATCCAGGTTAGTTAGTCTCATTGAGCCACGAGAGTGGTAGCGCATCTAGGGTGAGCCTGTGATCGGAAGATCGCTGGTTCAACTCCCCGTACCGACAACAGCAAAATGTAGGTGGGATAGGTGAAGCACCCACACCTGCCTCCGCCCTCATTTGCCCCACTCTGGGCCCTTGAGCAAGGCCCTTAACCTCTACCATCTGCTCCTCCGGGTGCCCTAGATGGAGCTCTCTGCTCCACACAGAGGGCTGTGGTAGCTCGGTGGTCTTTGGTTGTGTCAGGAAGGACATCTGGAGTAAAAATAATTGCCATGTCTTTGTGTGATACACTTAAAAAGGGGAAGAAAAGTAATAAACGACACAGACACTGTGTTTCCCTCACTTACAGTATGTAGAATGTAGTAAATTAACATAAAACACAATTCTCATAACCTTTAACAAAGAAATCATAACAATCCATTTTAACCAAATGTCACCTTTAACCTTTTGGAGAAACACTTTCATAACATTTGACCTCTTACTCTGAATTACCTGGTCAGTTACAACCAATATTTATTAAATGATCTTTCACAACAGAATTAGTGTTTTTAACTTTTGATCAGTCAATGAGTTACTTCACACTTTGAGCTCTTCTACACATGAGCTACTTCGTACTGGTCTATGACCATTAAAGGATTTACATCCCAGTTCCAGTGAAACAGGAATTAATATTAACAGCTTCAGTGAATAAAAGCAATAATAAACAAAACACGCGCACCAGTTCACATACAAACATAGCTGGTTAATGCCAAACACGTGACAGAAGTTCAGCTAATCATAAGAGCTGCGCATGCGGTTCTGCAGCTAAAAAGCTAGCGAATACACGTGCACGTCATCGACACAAATAAAACAAAGAACATTATTAATCAGTAAAACTGAGTTAGATATTAGCAAAGTAGTACAACATATAATCATACATTCTGATCAAATAATTACCTTAAAACGAGGAAGAAAAGTGAGAAACGACCGTGCGCGCCCCCTGCTGGACATATGAGGCATTACCCATCCAGCACAGAGCAATGATCAGCAGCAGTCCGAAGCAGCTGATCACAGAGCAGTTCTCGTGTTCTCTGTGGTGAACCCTGACCTGAGGGAGCAGTCGAAAGAAGAGAACAGTCTCATTGAGCCTCGAGGACTCATTTACAAGAGAGAGCTGTTTTAAACAAAGAACAGAAGAGGTACAGACATTAATTTAACAGACAGCCATAAAACACATACAATGAAAAAGTAAATAAAATTAATTGTATACCTGGATTATTGAGCAGGGACTTGGTTTTTAAATAAAATTAAGTTTTGTTGGAAAAACACTGAAGCGGAATTCGGACTGAATCCATCCAAGATGGCCGCCACAGCTAGGTGACCTTAGGCAATGCAGTAGTTTTTAAATCAGTTTTACAGGTACTGAAGTAAAACCTGGTGTGGTGGTAGCTGAGCATCACCCTGAACACACACTGAGCTCTAACTGATGGAGTTAACTCTGTTAGCAAAATGTCTGGTGAGCCACTGGATGGTTTCCTGGAACTTTCAGGAAGTGGTCGTTGAAGGTTCTGTATGCTGCTGGTGGAGATCCAGTTTTTCTGGAGGACCTGCAGCTGTCGGGTCTCTGGGTTCTGACTCTGAGCCTCCACTGCACAGCTCTCTGTTCCCACGTGCACGCTCCTTGCACATGCACGCACAGTCAGGCTGCCATACAGTTGGTCCATAAAGAACGATTGTGCAGCTGAAACATTGAGACCGTTGTTGCTCAGTGTGTGTGTGTTTCTGATATCAGAAGCTCTTTTGTTTTCTGGACAGAATCAAAAGTTCTGCTTCGACCCATGTGCTGCAGAACCTTTCAGCTGGTCAGACATGTTCTGACCCGATTCTCCAACCTGAACTGGCTGGAGGAGGAGGAGCAGCAGCAAGAGCAGCAGCAGGAGGAGGAGCAGGGGGAGAAGGGAGATTTCACGTCACAATAAATAAATTCAAAAGGAAAAGTTCAAACGTTTGTTGAAACAACTGAACCAGTTCAACCGTCACTCTGAAGGTCATCAATTGGACTTTGTTCTGCTCCAGAACCAGAAACAGGAAAACAAAAGTTTAAATCAGGGTTTTGGATTTTTGGTTCTGAAGATTTGAAGGTTTGTGCTCCAACAAAGTGGCCATCAGCCGGAGACTCGGACATTTTAAAGTTTAAATGTAGAAAATCAGAACTGAACTTCAAAGAAAGTTTAATTTGAATTAAAATCCAAAATTATTAGAAGTTCTGCTAAAACTGAAAGAGCCGGCAGAACTCTTAGACCACAGAAACATCTGAAGCAGGACTGGATCAGGACTTTTGCACTGTCCACATGAAGATTCAGTTTCTCCACAAAGCTTTAAAGGACAAGATGTGGGACAGAACCCAGATTAAGATGTGGGACAGAACCCGGATCAAGATGTGGGACAGAACCTGGATCAAGATGTGGGACAGAACCTGGATCA